CGGTCCCTGAGTGCCCTCCCCGTTCCCGCCTGCCGAAGCGCCTGGCGCTGGCTGCTGCAGACGGGAGACTGGGCTGGCCTTCGCTCTGCCCCAGGGTGGCCGTTCTCGGCCCATGGTTATAATGCAGCCACTTCTGGGGTGGTCGCCCCACTCCTGCCATGGGCCCCCTGGAGTCCCTCCCACCCAGGTGCCTTTGTGGGGGCAGTGCTCTTGGCAGGACCCATGGCCCCCATGTGACGAGGGGCCCCAGGAGCCTCTTGCAGGCGTGGCCCCCACTGAGAGCACTGACAGTGCTGGGGGAGTGTGGCTGAGATCAGACAACCTGCTGCAGCCCAGCCTGCCCATCACCCTCCACATCTGGTTCCCGGAGCCACGTGGTCATTCACACCCGCCACCGAGCCACTAGGCTCTTCTAAGGCTGGAGGGAAGCTTGCCGGGAAAGGGTCCTTTGCTGTGGGTCGTCAGCCCCCCGACCGCTGGCCTGGCAGAGCCCCCCCGGTGCAGACCAGCATCTCTGGAAGGATGCACGGGGCTGCTTGTGTGGACCGGGCAGTGTCTTTGCCAGTGTGGCCGGCAGGGGCCTGTTACACCCCCCATCTGAGGACATGGCTGAGTTCCTTTTGGAAACGTCCTTAGCAAAAATGTCCCCTCTCCAGCTCATCCCCAGAGGGAGTCAACAGAACAGGTGACCCCCCCATCATCCATACCCACCCCTGGCAAACAGAGGGAGGGACACCATCCCTGCCCAGCCTGGCTCACAGCAATTGATGGACCTAACCTCCATGAATCTATCTAGCTCTTTTTTGAACCCGGTTAAAGCCCTGGCCTTCACCACATCCTCTGGCGAGGAGTTCCACAGGTTGACTGTGCGCCGAGTGAAGAAAAACTTCCTTTGTGTTAAACCTGCTGCCTATTCTTTTCCTTTGGTGACCCCTAGTTCTCGTGTTCTGGGAACAAGTCAATAACTTTCCCTTATTCACTTTCTCCTCACCAGTCGTGATTTTCTAGACCTCTGTCATATCCCCCCTTAGTCTCCTTTTTCCAAGATGAAAAGTCCCCGTCTCCTTAATCTCTGCACATGTGGCAGCCGTTCCAAGCCCCTAATAATGTTTGTTGCCCTTTTCTGCACTTTTTCCAATGCCAAGAGATCTTTGTTGAGATGAGGCGACTATACCTGTATGCCGAATTCGAGATGCGGGTACACCACGGATTTATACGGCGGCAACAGGAAGTGCTCTTACTTTCAATCCCATTCTTAAGGAACCCTCACCGTCTGTTAGCTTTCTTGCCACCTCACTATGTACCCCTTTCCTTTTATTGTAGAGTGGCTCTCGAGGGCTGCATGTTGCATGAGTTTGTTATTGTAGGGTCTCCCAGCTGGGCTGGGCGGTGGGTAGGAGCGCAGGGTGCAGCTGGGTGTGGGAGTGTTTGTGCTGGGCAAACACAGACCTAGAGTTACAGGCAGTGAAAATAGCCGGGATAAGAGGTGACTTTCAAGCTGCAAGGTCGGTGGGGAGAGTGGGGGCGCTGCGAGGCAGCAGTGCGTTCTGGGGGGATTAGAGCGAGGCTCTGGGCTGTCACGTGGGGCCCAGCCTGATCCGGTTCCTAATCTCTCTCCGAAGATCTCCGTCGCCACTGGGGAGGGGCGAGCCGGCCCTGGCTGGTCTCAGGTTCAGCGCTGCCGCCGGAGGCTTCATGCTGACTCCAGTGGGCATCAGCTCATCTCTCAAGTGGAGGGAGACGGAAGTGTTGGGGACCCTTCCCCATGTTGCTCTCGCCTCGCTGGCCCTGGGACAGGCGGGGGAGCAGGGCTGGGAGGGGATGTTCACCGGGCACCGTACGGACCTGTGTTCAGAGACACGCCCTGCCCCCAGGAGCTTAGCCCAGATCCACAGAGGTTCCCAGCTCCCTTTGGGAATGAGACGCCCGACCCAGCCAGACCTGGGAGCTGCACCCGGGTGGGCCAGGCCGGGGCCCCTTTCCTGGGGTACTGCGCCAGGTGAGGCTGCTGTTTGCTGGTGCGCTGGCTCTTTCCAGAGCAAACTAGGCAGAGGGGTTTCCTGCTTCTCAATCCCGGGCCTCCTCTGCTCACAGCCATCCCCCCCGGAGCCCCGTTCAGCCGCAAGCTGCCTTGGGTCATCCCAGGGTGTAGGTCCCAGCTGGCATCAGCTCTTCCTCAGTCCAAGGCGGTGTCATGGGCTGGGGCCTTTCCCAGCACGCCAGGGTCATCTGCCACGGTCCGTCCTGGGCTGGCTGCTCACGGGGGAGGATTCAGGGCTGAGAGGGCGCGGCAGACAAGCCTTGGGGTTAGAACCCCGGACTCACCCCATCTTGCTTTGCTCTCCCCTCCCAGGGCGCTGGGGCAGGAAGGAAGCAGGAGGGGGTCGCAGAACATCCACCATGACTCTGGGCCTCACCGCGTGGGCCTGGGCCCTGTTCTGCCTGGGAGCCCCCCGGGCGAGCGCCTCCGCCAGCCCCCTTCTGCGGCCGGAGCCCTTTACGGTGGTGTGGAACATGCCCACGGCCCGGTGCCACCAGCGCTTTGGGGTCCACCTGCCTCTCGAGGACCATGGCATCCTGGAGAACCCGGGCCACACCTTCCGGGGCCCAAACATGACCATCTTCTACAAGAACAAGTTTGGCCGCTACCCCTACATCTCCCCCGAGGGCCAGCGCCACCATGGGGGCATCCCCCAGAAAGTCCGCCTCCAGGAGCACCTGGAGAGGGCCGCAGCCCAGATCACCCGGCTCCTGCCCCCAGACTTCCCCTGGCTGGCCGTG